ATCTAAAAATAATGAGTGTCCACAACCTCTACAACATCCTGGCACACCGCAGAGAGTTGGCATTCGTTACAAATTAATTAAGTTGGAGGTATATGTCCAGGAGAAACCACAGTGTCTCGCCACGCGACCATTTGTTTACACCCAGTCAAGCGCCTGACAAATTCAAACGTTTGCGTAACCACCTCTAATACCGCAGCGCCACCCGACGATTAATGACGTGAATGGATACTATTGTACCAGTTAATACAGTGAATTTTCTGAATGGTGTTATGACTGAATAAATTGTGGGTGTTCAAAATGGAAAAAATGTTTTGTTTCTTTAAAATCTCACGTGGTCTCGTAATTGATATTTACGAAATAGAATTAAAAAATTAAACGAGACTTACCTTGGTTAAGGTGAAGTTTGATTGAGATTCTATGAGGAAATAGAATCAATGAAGAGATCACGTGCCACCCACCCACCCTGCATATGCAAGGAATGTAATTTATAAATGTATGATTGGTAAAATTTCATTTACACAGATGTATGATGTATACATTTGTGTAAATGATGTAACAAAAAAATTTTTCGCTTTAAATCCTGAATCCGCACATGCGCAGTACAATCTCACGTGATCTCTTCATTGATTCTATTTCCTCATAGAATCTCAATCAAACTTCACCTTAACCAAGGTAAGTCTCGTTTAATTTTTTAATTATTGCTGAATATTACTGATTAGTTGAAATGCATTTTTTTTGTTCCCCTACTCTGTCTATAGGTATTAAGTAACCAAACTAAACACCCTTAGTGTATAGTTATGATTAGCAATGGTGCCTCTTTCAAAATTGTGAATGCCATGATGTCTAGTTTAAACAGTGTTAAAACATGAACCAAAGTCAATCGTTGTAAAGTTGTTGCATGCTCAGGTGACCTATAAGGCCCATGGGCCTCTTGTTATTATATGTTTTCTGTCCATATGCCACTTTGGAACAATTAATGTGTCTAAGCTTTGCATGATTGCATGTACTTGATGGTCTTGCATATGAAATTTACAGGAGGAACCAACCAATTGTTATCATTCTGCCAGTTTTGAGAAAAAGCTTTGATGAACTCCCTCAGTTTCTGGAAACCAAAACAAAGAATTAAATCTCGGTAACTTTGTGTTATAAACATTAGCAAATCTGGCAAATGTATGAGGTCCCCAGATGGAATCGATTAACTGAAAAAATACATAATTTGTTTACAAATCTTCGTAAACAATACTATTAAATATATAACTTGCCTTTGTATTCAAATTTTTAGGATTCCAGACAATTCTGAGAGTAGCACTCAGCACATTCAGGAAAATGCTAACGATTGTAAGTGAGGTTTTGTAATACCTTTCTGCACAATACTAACACAATTTTGATTATCTGTGTGCCATACATTTTTGCAAGTGAAATCACCTGAAAAAGAATCTAATGCTAACTAAATTGCTTTCAGTTCTCTCCACGTAGAACTCATCATCGTTTCACTTTCTGGCCATCTCCTGTGAAAAACTTTTTCATTTAGTTCGATAGTATAAGCAGCAGCAGCAATGTTGCTTGCGTCGGAATACACGCTTGCGTCGGAATACACTAAAACATTGGAAAAATTATCTAGACCCATACGTTTGAGATTAAGCTTTCTTAAATTTTCCAGCCAAAATATTGATTCTTTTTTAACTGCATCTGTAAAAGAAAACAATAGCAAGCAATCCCAAAATGCTGTATTTTCAATAGCTAGATAAATTTGTCTAGTCATTAGACTGGAGATGTTCCCTTTAACCGGATAAGTAGTATAAGGGGTCTAGATAGATACTCATTCTGATTGGCTGAGAGAAATCACGTGATCAATTCTGATTGGTGGAGGGGAAAAGGGGGGTCAACTGAGTGGAGTGCTAACCCTAACCCCCTATCCCTAACTAGCCCTAACTAACCCTAACCCCCTAACCCTAACCCTAACTAACCCTAACCCCTAACCCTAACTAACCCTATCCCCCTAGCCCCCTAACCCTAACCCTAACTAACCCTAACCCCCTAACTAACCCTAACCTATTCCCTTAAATACTGGAGTTGTTTACACAGTGTTTTTACATTAACGTAGGTACTACGTTTTTTTATGCTGACTACACAGGTAAATACTGGCAGATTCAAGTCAGGGGACCGTGTGTAAAAAATATGCTGACTATACAGGTAAATACTTGGCAGCGATTCAAGTCAGGGGACCGTGTGCAAAAAATATGCTGACTACACAGGTAAATACTTGGCAGCGATTCAAGTTTGTTTAGGACCGTGTGCAAAAAATATGCTGACTACACAGGTAAATACTTGGCAGCGAGCCAAGTTTGTTTAGAGCCGTGTGCAAAAAAAAAAAAAATATGCTGACTACACAGGTAAATACTTGGCAGCGAACCAAGTTTCTTTAGGACCGTGTGCAAAAAATATGCTGACTACACAGGTAAATACTTGGCAGCGATTCAAGTTTGTTTAGGGCCGTGTGCAAAAAAAAAAATATGCTTACCTATGCATTGTGACGTCATCCATGTCAGCGAGCTACCCTATACATTATGACGTCATACACTTGTAAAATTAAAGTTTCATTTTCACTTTTGTTTCTAAGAAGTCAACTTAGATTTTCAAAAAATGTAAGACTATCTTTTTTTTTCCTCTCTTTTACTTTGATGATTTTCCTACTGTGAAGCTTTCCATGTATAAAGCTCAATTTTTCCATGACCACGGAAGTAAACATCCTGATGCATTCTTGTCATGTGAATGTTGAGAGCGTGTTCATTTTTGAAATCTCCTTTCTGACAGACCTATTCCACAGGTAAGTTTGTCTTATTTTTGTTTACATTTCCTATATGAAGGTCATCTTTGTATTTAACCATGATTATGTAAAGTTCTGTTTTGAATGTAAATACTATATTTATCCTCATTTCATGTGATTTACAGTTGTTTAGCCTGCATGTAACTCAGAGTGCATTTAATAATTCTATGATGGGTCATTCTATGATTGAATTTCAATCAGAAAAATGTTCACTAAATTTTGGTAAAATACATGGTATCTTTTTACATTTCTATCCCTTTTGTCTGTAAATTATTGCTTTACTTACATTGTAAAATGAGGTTAATTGTGTATCACTGAATATTGTATGATTTTTTTTCAGGATCAGCTGAGATGTAATCAATCACTGGATTATTTAATGCATAGGCTAATTGGGCATATAGTTGAATATCTCTGGTAAGTTTGTCTTGTTTTAATTTTTTACATTCCCTATGAAGGTCATCTTTGCATTTAACCATGATTATATGGTTAATTTAATTACTGTGTAATACTTTATCTGATATCTCTAACTTACATTCATATAAACACACCCTTATTTAACCTAAAATATATCAAGGGATCTTCAGAATATTAATAAGTCCTATTGTATAAATTATATGATATAATTTCATAATTCATTATGTATGTTACCCATGGCCATGGAATTCAGACTTACTAAATGGTGATCAAAGAGATATTAACTAGGAATCTAATAAGAGAAAAGGAGGAATTTACAAAAGATTAAAGTCATTTACTTTTTGTTTTGATTCTAAATATGTGTGATATATGCTATACATATATTTTCATTTTCACTTTTGTTTCTTAAGCTTTTCAAAAAAAAAATGAAGGACTACATGTTGTACTGTGATGATGTAAAAAAAAAATAAAAATGTATTTTTCTGTATGCATTACTGATAGCTATTAAACCAAAATTGAATCTGCTGTTAATAAAAGGTCTTTTAGTGTCTAAATAATTAATTTGATAATCATTTTATTTTGTGATATTAATACATTAGTTGTGCTTGTTTATTATCTATAAATAACATGATGAACTTTTCTCATCTCGAGTTAATGTTAAAAACAATTTGTTTTGAGTCTAAAAACAAATATTTTCATGATCTTTTTTTTGACATTGTACATGTTATATTTAAACATGCATTGTTTCATACAGTACTCTGTCATATTAAAAAAAATGCTTTTATTTCTACAGTCATCAACATGGAATGTATGACTTCATCTTTTATACAGTCGGGTTCGGGGTTTCGGGCGGCCATGACGAATTTCGGCAAGATTTTACCCCAGTGAAAAAGGCTTGTAATCCACAGTGTAGGTCTTTTAAAGTTGTTTCACATTGTTTATGATTGTGATTATGTTATCACTCACCTATATGTTTAATGTTAGCTATGCTAAATAACCCATTTCTGTGTAATTTGAGAGAATGTTTTTGTCATGTGCTTAAAGTATGGCCTGCTATTCATGTCATCATTTAAAGTCGCTCCTCAAATAAATCTGTCTTAAAAAATACATTTTACAAATGACATTTAATATGATTAGAGTATAGGTATCCAAATATATAAGAGATATTATTTTGCATTACATATATAAGAGGCATTGTCTCATGTAATTTAAATCATAATAACAAAAATGGAATTTATTTTTCTATACAGTCCTCAACCTGGAAGATATGTTTTGTTCCTAACCATCTATAATCCATTCTCTATGAAGTGAAGCCTGGCTGCTCTTCCTTTGGAAATACACAGTTAGTCAATCAACATAGAAACACACAAACTTGAAGGTAAAGTTTCAATGAGATACAATTGTAACTTTTATTTATTTATTTATTTTTTTTGTTACATATGCATGTTTATATTTTTGAATTGATAAATAAATGATATATTTAAATAAAGAGGGCTTGGTGGTCATGGTCATGTTTAAACCATATTGATATCCTTCACAAGAAAAGGCATAAAAATTCATGATCAAATTTTAAAACTAAAATGTATGAAGTTTTTCTGTGCCAAATGATAGTTAACAGCTAAAGATAGCATATCTATAGAATAAGTTAAATATGGCTAATTTGTTAACCCCCAGTTTCCTTAATAGCATAGTTGGTAAAGATAGCAAGTTTTCACTTCAATTGCTGGTGAATTCTGAATTTTCCATTTAATATTAACATTATATCACAGGGAAAGAATACTATAATGTGGTTCATTAGGATGACCAGAAAAGAAATCTTAATGACCCTTATGACTATGTATAAAGTCTGTAACCTTATAACTGATGTAAGATGACCTGATTGTTTGGAATTAAAATTTCCTGGTGTTTCTATTACCCAAGATCTTCTTATGAGTGCATGGGACTGTTGTAACCCTTCTCCTGTTTATAAAAATAATACCTTGGAGCATGACACTTTATTCATTTAAGGTACTTTCAATATCATTTCTATGAGTTTGTGTTCTTTTTCTTTTTAATAATCTAGTGTTATATCTCCTTTACCCTAATTAATATGCATGCTTCCAAAATCATTATAGATCTGTCTGTATAGTTTTTTCAGCTCTTTGAACACAAATACCCTGATTCAAACTTTTGAGGTAAACATCATGGAGACATCATAAATGATTATCAGAGTGTATATATCACAATCTTGACCATAAGGTCAATTAAAATGGTCAAAAGCACAACAAATGAAAGTGAAAACTTTCTTATCAGAATACATAATTTTGTAATATTAATTCTTACCTTCTTTTGGTAATAAATGGTTATATTCTTCATTAGCTTCTTCTGCAATCAAGGATCTTTCTATGTAATCTCTGACAACATTAGGATCACCCTTTTCTGGACATAATTGGTTATATTCTTCTTGAGAAATGATCTCAATAATGCTATCTTTTTTTTTATTTTAACTGGTATACCTCTGTCTACATCTTTCTCTGAAAGAACTCTCTTTTCAAACTGAATTTTACTCATTCCTTTACTCTTTTCTTTACTGGAGGTGTTACCCATGGTTAATATGAAAAGTCAAAATCTGATGTTACACCTTGTATTTATACCCTTTTTTGTCTATATTTAGAATTCCATCAAGCTTATATTACATAACAAATTTTTTTTTTTTCAACTAAGACATTATTTTTATTTTCCAGGATATTCTAGTGAGGGCTTATGGAAATGATCTATGTCTACTCTCAGAATGGTGAAAGACTATCAGATTATGCAAAGACTAACAGGATATCCTCTCTTGGAACACTGAAATAAGAAAATCAAACAGGAGGTGGATGGAGGATTTAAGAAGCACAGGTGAAAGACTATCAGATTATGCAAAGACTAACAGAATATCCTCTCTTAAAACACTGAAACAAGAAAATCAAACAGGATGGAGGATTTAAGAAGCACATAGATAAATATGATTTCCAACCAATTTAAGTACGATCATAGACTGTGCTTTACAGGATGACAAAGAAAGGACCCAGGATAGTATCTTTTACTGTCAGACACTGACTATGGATAAGATGTAGCCATTTATGAAACTGAGATCTAGTCAAATCAAGTATTGAGAACATGATTTTCTGATAACATGAATTTATTCTCACCAACTTCAAAGTATCTATATTTATTTTTTTTTTATTATATATATATTATATATATATTATTATATATATTATTTATTATATATGTATTTATTTTTTTACTAACTCATATTGAAGACAGTTGTTATGTAAGAGAAGTATACATTTAAACCTTTTATTTTTCATCTTATTTCTATAACCCCTAACAAATTACACAGATGTTTTAGAAGCTAGCTTTGCTGTAATTATTACTTTCCTGGAACGGTAAATATATTTTGTTTGTGTATGTGTATCCTATTTTGAATTTAAAATAGGTCTCAATAGGACCCCCTAAAGATGCAAGTGTCCCCTAATCTGTGATGTAATAATATCTTGAATATTTTTTAACATCCCATAGACTTCATGCTTACTTCACAGAACAGGTTAGAGTAATGCACTTAGTTTTCTAGGACACTTCATCAGGGTCAAAGCATGAGATTATTGATTCAGAGATAACTACCTTTGAAAATAATTTGTAACATACAAACTTCACATCATAAGTAAAGAAAGATTCAGAGATTTTCTATAGATTTTTGGATCATTTTTTTTTTTCATGGGTTATATTTTCAGTTGTTGTAACTTTAACAATTTGTGATAACCTAGAGACTTTTTTATCAGCTTTATTGGGTGGCATGGCATATTCTTTGGTAAATCATATGCACTATGTTCAAGGATGTTTAAAGACTATGACTATGTAATACCTTAGAATTCTATTAAAATCTTAATATCACTGCATAGATAAAAACTGGTTGGAATAATACATGTTGACAATAATTTGCAACCTACAAACTTCACATCATAAGTAAAGAAAGATTCAGAGATTTTCTATAGATTTTTGGATCATTTTTCTCCTGGATTATATTTTCAGTTGTTGTAACTTTAACAATTTGTGATAACTTACAGACTTTATAAAATTAGGTGCAAATTTTTAGGAAAGGATTGAAATGTTAATCAAATGTACATGTTCAAGTGTGTATAAATGATTATTACAAATATGTAATACCTAAGAAGGATCTGTTAAAATTTTATTATCACTGCATAGATTAAAGACTGGTTGAGTCCATATTTATTATATTATATAAATAATAATTTCCCAAATGTATTTTTGTATATCTTCCTAATGTTTAGAGTGTACCATTAAGTTGAGTAGAAAAAATTTTTTGAATATTACTCACAGACTGTTTCGGTAATAAATTTTAATATAACTAAGCATAATATTTTTATTCTGAATAAACATTGGATTTAGAATCGCACTCATTTACACTTGCAAAGGAAATGCACTGACAAAATATCTGTTGATGTACGCTATAATTATTTATTCGTACATATTCCTTCCAGTCGTAATAAAATATCTGCTCGCCGATGGAAAAGTCGAATTCAACAATGAAATGGTATATGTAGTAAGTATCCCGAAAAATGCTAAAAGATATCCTTGATAATTGTTTTGTATTCTCACCTTCATATAGTTCTTTACTATATCTTTTTACAACTTGCAAATTTAAAGCGAAAGTGAAAAAAGCTCGTGCGAGTCATTATTCGCTTTCAGCGGTCATTATTAAAATATAATTACTTCGTATTGACCAATCAGATTATGGGATTTCACAAAGTTATATAATATTACTATGTAATACCTTAGAAGTCTGTTAAAATTTTATTATCACTGCATAGATAAAGACTGGTTGGAATAATTTATGTTTTGAAATAAGGTTTAGGGAAAAAAGTCAAGACTGTGGATATGACTTTTATTCAAATGGTGCAGTACAGCAACTCTGGTGATTTACATACCTTCAGTCATAAATAGATAAGTATTGGGAAGATCTAGATTTTGAAATTTTTTTCAAAAGTATAGAACTTTTTTTTAAGTTTGAAAGATTAAATGGCAGCATATCATTTGCTTGTGAATTTAAAAAATAAATCCAAACACATACATCTTTGGATGATAATTATATAATTTTATCAATTCCTGGACTTCGGTCTTGATATCATCCTTTAATGTCCTTAAAATTTTAATGACTGTCTTTTAGTTTTAGTTGAATTCGGTTTCTTTTCTACATGTGAAAATGACATCATCCAAAGAAGTTCTTCATCTGCATGTTATATGAAGAAGACAATTTTCATCACAGTGAAAGAGATTGTTTTGTTAAACATATTGCATTGATGCACAAATATACTTTTAGATTTTTAATAGCTAGGGTTTATATTTCTTTATATGGAATGCTAAGTACTGTTGATTTCATTTTTTTGTGAACAAAGATATACTAGTAGAAAAAATGTACATGATGTGTCAGAAAAGCATGTGTAAACCTGATGACTTTATCATTGCTGATTAAATCAAATTATGAGTTTCATCTTTGTTACATTGTAAACATTTCTAAGTAGGGCACACACCAGAAACTCTTAAAATTATTATATCAGGGTTTAACACAACAATTTCAAATGATTTTTGGACGCTTTTCATGTATCAGAAAGACAAAACAGAATGTTTGTTCACAGATGTTCCAAAGGAAAACAAACACAAAGAAATGATTTGTAATGTTCTTTATGTGATTCATGTAAAATGTATTTTAAAAGTGTACCCTAACATTTATCTTTTGCATTTATATTTTTGTAAAGAATTTCTCATAACTTTGAAAAAGTAGTCTAATTGTATAATATGAGTAGCTTAAAATCTTGTAAACTTAAAAGTTGTACATGATGTGTTACACATCTTACATATGTAACCATTTCATTTCAGGGCTTTTTTCAGCATATATTGTAGTTTTGTCTTAAATTTGTTTGCTTATGTAATCAATAATTTGCTAATACTCAAATTAGGAAATATATGAGAGAATAAACAAGAAAATCAGGTTTAAAAAATGTTTTTACTACAAAGGGGTTAATCCATAAGTAATTTTTCAGTCTATACATTTTTAAGGTATTGGTTTATGAAATAAACTTACATATGAACATTGTAAGACTTGTAAATTGTAATCATTAGTTTAACCAGTTTTAAAAAAAAATCAACCCATTTAAAACTAGATTCACTGTCAGCATGTTATTTCTTGTAAAATAAATGAGAAAACAATTTTATTTGTTTAAAAAAAATAGTCAGTTTAACACACCTTTTAAATTTTTTTTTAATGTAAATTAAAAAGCATTGGAAGTTGGGAATATTTCACAAAGTTAATTAATTTATACAAAATTTTTTATACATAAGTGAATAGAATTGGGCAGCAGGCAGAAGCCTATTTGAGCTGTAGATTATGATTTTTTTTATTTACAACTACTTTCTAAAGAAAGAGGGTAATTGAACAAACCTTATAATAATTCAATTTTTTTTTTCACTAGGATAGTTGCAAATATTTTGATTTAAGCATTAAAGAAACTATTTCATATTGAAATATACAAACCATGTTTAGTCATGCAGTATATAGTTTACACTTGACAAAATGTAAACCTATTTTATCTCTATTCAGGGTCAATCCAAAGGTCAAAAAGTTTAAATATTTTTATAGTTAAATTACGAATATTTAAATAAAATATTTCAAAAGATGAAAAAAATATATTCTCTTTATGTATCAAACATGCAGGTATTATTGCAATAAATTCACTGTATTCAGTTGTTTTTTTGTTCTCTTTCTATGTATGAATAGCTCTAATTTAGGCAATCAAAGCAAATGAGTTATGTCAAATGATGAAGGTATACACAAGAAATTAACATGGACAGAGAATTATGAGTTTCCCTCAAATATGGCTGCCAAGTGATGTGAAATAAAAACAAAATGTGGATTCATCTATTAGGATTGAAACTTGTACATAATATGAATGATGGACACTATGACATTAAGAATGACATGAAAGAAATAAATTTGATTCAATTATATGAACAGCTCTTAATCCATACAGTCAAAATGGAGGAAAAAATTTTCTTTATTAGGCATAAAGTAACAAACACTCACCCAATACATCAGAATTTTACTTTTTTGAAGAAAAGGAACCTTACTTACTTTGTTGAGTTGACATTCATATTTTTTGTGTTTGACAGGTAGAGCAATGGTTTCTAACTATTATAGTGAGAACTTTTTATTTAAGAGTCATCAGATTGTTCTGATATTTTGGTTAAAATAACTGCATGACATCAAATAATTTGTTCATACAAAGGACTAAAAGATTTTCCAGGTTTCTTCTTTAGTCAGATTAAATAGTGTTCAACTAATATGTTCAAAATACATTATACAAGATAATCATCCAAGTTACACAAAGGTAAACAAATGACCTTATTATGTTTTAAGTCAAAAGGTCAAAGTGAGGAGGATATCTGCTATATTTAATAGTTTGGTTAATATTCATCAAACTTCATGAATAGGTTAATTAAACAAGCTTCATATATTTTGATTATCAGATCAAAGATCAGCACACTTTTTGCGATACCATTGTTGTCTATGAATATCTTAACACCTCTATTGATTTTTCAGATTAAAGGTCAATGTGTTCCTGCTACAGTAAAACTTCATTATAAGGATATCAGAGTGATTTGTTTAGTTGTAAGAAATTAGTTATAAAATCTCCCACTCTTTCTATAATATGTCACTGAATGGGCTCCTTCATTTTAAAGAATTTTACAAGCAAATCATATACTGACTTTTAATCCTTCAAAACACAATATGTATATTAAATCTTGAGATTGAGATTTCAGCCTTTTAGGA